AGCTGTGCCCAAGAAACAACCCAAACAGAAGGGAACGCAGCAACAAAGGACAGAAAAAAGAGAAAGAGAGAAAAAAAGAGAACCCCAAAAGCTGCTAGTATTCAAACCTTCTAAATAAAAAAGTATGTGTGAATGTAAATAAATATATATATATAGTGTATTCAGGAGGGAGCAAAAAAAGGTAGAAATTACGATTTCTAGTAATACTAATTAAACAATATTAGTGTTATCGCTCCTAGAGCTTTATAAAACACTTTTATCTTTTAGAAGAATTTTTATATTCTTCAAGTTTCTCTAAAGGTATCCCAGGCTGAAGTTTTGTCCATCAACTTGGGTGCTATTACAGTCTAATAATACCAAAAAAATTAAAAACCTGATCATAGCACATATAAAAACAAGAATACATATTTTAAAATATAGCAATTAACGCACATAATACTAAACTTTACAAGTTTTGAAATATTAAATATCATTATGAGGCTTTTTTTCTTCTTGAAATATTTTAGTTGTAAAAATTAATATTAGGAAACAAAATATGGTATACATTACTCATACTACCTATAATTGATATAAGGATAGTATCCTGCAAAAGATTCCAAAAAATGACCTGGTCTAGATATCTGCTTTCATGTCATTATTTCCTCATTTTATAGTTAAGGTGATTGATGCCCAGGTGAAATTAAGTACTTCTCCATGATCATGAATTTAGAAAGTAGAGAAGTAGGAACTAGAATCCTGGCCTATTGCTTCTTAGTGCAGAACTCTTTCTCCTGCCTCCATCCATTCCTAAGCATTATAGTGGAGACATCAGATTTCAAAGACAGGTACATGCTAAAGGTATCACTGGATAACACACTAACCAAAACAGCTAAACCACTTTGAACTCCTACAACAGTCATCTAACTTTGGTCACTGTTTCCAGTGCTTCTTCACCTCAAGCTGCAATCCATTTTACAAACAGCAGCTATATAGAATACTCGTGTTCACTTTATCATATCACTCCCGTCAATAATTCATAAAGGCTTTCTATATTTACTGTATGAAATCCAAGTACGGTATTAATCTGACTTTTCCCCACTGCCTACATTAACTCACCTTCTCTGTCCTTCCACTTGGCCTAACAATCTAGCTAACTACCTTCATGTTTTTTTTCAAATATCCATTTTACCCACATACCTTTGTCATTTTCTTCTCCCCTTCACCTTGCAAATGTACATCTACCATTTACTTCTATATCTCCTTAGAACTATTTATACTCATTTTAGTCTCATTCAGTGGTTCTCAGTAGCAGACATTCTCATATTATGAGAAGGCAGCAGGGAGAATAAGGAAGAGCAAGATAAAAAAGGTTTCCTTCCCCTTGAGAACCACTGTTCTACTCACATTACTGCTATACACTGGAAGCATCAAGTTCTTCACGAAAATAATTTAAGTAAATGATATTTAAAATTTCTAAGTCTAATGTTTTAGTAATTTATTCAACGAGCATTTATTGAGCAAATCTTCCTTGTACTAACTAGATACTGTTCTAGGCACTAGGGATAGAACAATGAACAAAAGAAACAAAAATCCTTCACATTCCAGTGACATTTCCTCAACCTTAAATTTTTCTACATTTAAAATCCTTAACATAAAAGAAACTTGTTTGTGAGTTTCTCTCATTGTTAATGAGAGACAATGTACTATTAAGCAGTTGGTTCTGTGTATGCTGGGTAGAAGAAAGTCTCATTCCGAAGGAGGGACTGAATTTGAGAAAAACGGGAGAAAGAAAAGTAAAACAAAAAAGAGAAAATGAAAATACAGAAGAGGAAAAGGAAATAGTGGAAGAAAATGGAGTAGGCATTGGAAAATAGCCTGTTATTTCTCCCCATTCCCTTCTCAAGAGGAAGATGGCTCAAATACTTCCATTCATACTAAAGCCACCTGCTGCATGATCATCTCTATTTTTATTAAAATATGCATATTTTATTTGTATTTGTAAATGTTCTTTGGTAAGTTTTTAAGGCATTCCTTTTCGAATGTCTGTCTCCATTTTGTATTAGATCCTGTGTTATTTTTGCAGTATGTACTTTCCTTACTGTAACTTACTCTAATGCTCTTCCTCATTCACTCATCCCTATCTTTCGTCAAAACTCCTAAGAACTAAGAATTCGAAAGGGCTTACCCCATCCCCTTGAACTAAAATTCCAAAATAAAATTATAATCAATAATAAGCCACATAATCCAGCAAAGCCACTAGATATACTGGTGTGATATCTAAAATAGCATTAACTTGCAAACACCACACAGAGGATGCATTCCCAATTATTACAAGACAATTGGTGTGGGTATGAAAATTGCACTTGAATATAATCAAATTTGCACATTATCATAAGATTTTATATATTATAGCTCAATTTAAAAACCAATTTTCAAATTGGTTTGTATTGTAACAATCTTACCTATACTGGTAAATGTCACTTAAAAACACTGAGAAAAAAATATATAATTACAAAATTAATGGAATAGGCTATACCATCTACTACTTCTTTTTCCCTTCTACCCTCATGTTCATGAGTATTTTCTAAATGAAGGGGAAAATCAAAGGAAATTTAGACAATAAGTAACAGAGTGGAAAGTAGTGCCATATTAGTTACTATTCTTATGTATCTGCATACTCAGGGGCCATCTCGATTGGTTAATTTCTGACAGATTAAAGACTTAAATCTGTCCTTCAATATGTAATAAACAATCCTCTTTAAAATGCCCAAAAAGCACATACAGGTTTCTAGTTAACGTTTGAGCTGTAAAACTTTGTTTCTCCTTGCAAATTACATTTAAATTTCTAAGGTTTTCTTTCTGCACTTAAAAAATTTTTTAATTAAAAAAAAAAAAGCAGAGTCTAAACTAAGCTGCAATCCAGCAATATTCTCACGTTTAAATATTTAACTTCCATTAACTGTTAAAGAACTTCTGAATTCCTTAAATGTTTCTCCTATGCAATCTCAAAAGCTATAACCAAGTTTGGATCATATATGTACCCCCATCCTAGAGAAATCCAGCCATACAAAGCACAAATTTGTTTATTCAGCTCATTTCCCAATTAACTCTCCTTTGCAAAATCAAAGAAAGTTGAAGACTATAATAATTTCTTACAACTGAAGTTTGTTACCCAATTGAATGAGTTTACTAGCTTTTTAAAAGCATACAAGCTATTTTTTTTAAATGTTGGAACTTTTTTACTACTATAAAGAATCAGAAAAAGAGACTGAAATGTTGCAACAAAGGGCCACCAGGGAGAATACAGTATCTAGTGCTCATCGGGTTCAAAGAGAATATAGTACCTAGTGCCCATCAGGTTCAACAGCACAAATTAATTTTCAGAGAACACTAAAAACCTTAACTCCTCTTCCTACTTGGCTGCCTGGAGAAAAGTCACAGTTTCTCTTCACTGACAGAGGGCCCTACAGGCAAAAGGCCGGCCTCAGCATTTACTGTAAGAAAGCTCAATGACAAAATCTCCTAAACTCAGGTCCCTGTTGGTCAACTTCTAGGAGTAATAGAAGCTATAATAATCAACAATAAAAAGATTGCTGCATTGAGAGTTTATGTATCCTTAAGCCATGGAATAGAAGAATTCCCTTTTCACTACTATATCAACTAAAAAAATTCAGGCCAAGAGAACTACAGTATTCCATAGGCCATGTAATACATTCAGACTCTACCTATACAAATTCGATGCCTGCCTCTTAGGAATCCCAATTTAGTTCACCCCAAAAATGAAACTCCCACCTGTCACAAAGGATAATCATATCTGCCCAGCCTTACTGCACAAGGCTGTGGTAAAATTAAAATAAGAGATCTAAAAACTTCACGTACAAAGGAAAAAAGTGGAAAGTGGCACCATTACTAAGAACAGGCTTCCATGAATGCCACTTGCATTTCAGAATGTTCTGTAAAGTCATTATGAATTATAGACCATGGAATCAATATATCCATCAATCAAATATTTATTATTCATTACAGAATGGAAAAAGGTGGAATACAAGGAGAAGAGAACCAAAATTGATCAGGCATAAATTATTTTCCAGATAGTGTGCTAGATCCTTGAAATACATTATTTCACTTAATCATTACAACCTTGTCAAAGAGTTATTAGTATTTTCACTTTAACAGGAGAGTAAACTCAAGTTCAGAAAAGTTACAATGACTAAATGGCAATGGCAAAATAAGACTCCATATGTTTGTCTCCCAAAATGCAGACTTGCTATAAAGACCTGTTCTCAAGTAGTTTATACTCTA